TGGTTTGCTGGCCATCTTTGGTGTTCTGTGGCTTGGAGACATATCACCTGACTCCTGACTTCATCTTCACCTGTCATTCTCCCTGTGTGTTCAGATCATTTTCCCTCTTGGTATGTCTATGTTCAAATTTCCCCTTTTATATTATAAGAGCACCAGTCATATTAAAGGCTCACCCTACTCCTGTATTATCTCATCTTAACTAATTATATCTGCAGTGACCCTATTTCCAAATAAGGTCACCTTCTGAGGTTCTGGAGCTTAGGACTTTAACATATAAATTTGAGGGGGACACAATTCAACCCATAACACTTTGTGATGGTTAATTTTATGTATTAACTTGGCTGGGCCACAGTGCCCAGATATTTGGTTAAGCACTATTCTGGGTGTTTTCTGTGAGGGCATTTTTGGATGAGACTAACATTTAAATTGGTAGACTGAGTAAAACAGATAATTGCCCTCATAATGTGGGTGGGCCGCATCCAATCAGTCAAAGGCCTTAATAGAACAAAGACTGACCTCCCCTGAGCAAGAAGGAATTCTGCCAGCAGATACAGCCTGTGGACTAGAACTTTAGCTTCTCCTGGAGACTCTGTCTGTCCCCTCAGACCTTGAGCTGGCCAAGCCCCCACAACCATGTGAGCCAATTCCTCAAGATAACCTCTCATGTATACATAGGGTACCAAAAAAATGTATACATATTTTAAGAAAGGAAAAAACTGTATTAAAATTGTAATACTCAATGTACACTGATAACAAAAGATGAATACAGGTCATGTGTATATATATATTTTTGGCACCCTTGGTGTATTATGCATACCCTGTTAATTCTATTTCTCTGGAGAACGCTGATTAATACACATTTGCTTTTAACTTTTTTTTGTTTCTTGATAAGTGTATTTAAAGATATAATTTCCCTTTATGCATTACTTTAGCTGTGTCCCACAATTTAACACTCTGTTCTTACTATTTCTTAATTTCTCTTATGATTTTTTACTAATATGTTAGTTTGAAAACATATGTAAAAAGCTATTTTTTATTTTTATTTTCTTGCCTGTTGGCTAGAGGACATGTTTTCTAGCACATTGAGCCCTTGGAGTTTATTGAGGCTTTCCTCATTGCCCAGTATATTTTTGTAATGCTCACAGTGTGCTAAGAAAAGAATTGCTCAAGCTTACTAATTTTATTGTTCAGATCTTTTATATATCCAGTGATTTTTAAAATCTGTTCAGTTTATTGGTTTTTGAGAGTGTTTTACAGTCTCCAAGTACAATTGTTATTTCTCCCTACACTTGTTATTTGTTGGTTTATATATTTGAATTTACATTGTTAGAGGCATATATTATTTTAGTATGATGATACCTTTTTACATGATTGATTATTTTATCAATATTTAATGTCCATCTTTGTTCTTTATGATATTTCTCCCCTAGATTTCTACTTTATCAATTAAAATCACTCTTAGCTGTCTTTTCATTCAAATTTGTATGAAATTTCTAGCATTATTTTCAGTCTTTCAGTGTTTTTTATTTATGTTTCTATAAATGTTATAGTCAGGTTTATTTTTTATTCTGAGAGTTCTCTATCTTAATTGATAAGTTTAACTATTGCATTTATCATTATTTCCATCTTATTCCATACTTTCCATTAACTTTCTTGTTTCATTTTATAATTTTATATTTAAGTCCACTTTGAGTTAATGGTTGTATCAGGTGTAAGACTTAGGTAAAGGTACATTTTTGCCTTATGAATGCCACCATTGTGTTGAAAATGTTGTCCTTCCTCATTAAATTGCTTTTGCACCTTTGTCAAAAGCACATAGCCATTGTTGTATGAGTCTATTTTTGGATTCTGTGTTTTGTTTAGTCACCTCTGTGACTCTCCCTACACCAATACCACAGCATAGTCTTGATTACTGTAGCTAGATTATAAGCCAACACACTGGCTAGAGTGAATCTTCCTAATGTAATCTTCTTTTTCTAAAGTGTTTGAGGTATTCAGGGTCCTTTGTCTTTCCATATGCATATTTTATAGTAAGCTTATCTATATCTACAAAAAAACCATGCTGGGATTTTGTGAACTGTGTTAAACTTATAGATTAGTTTTGGGAAAATTGACATCTTTACTGTGTTAAGTCTTCCGAATGTCTCTCCATGTATTTAGGTCTTATTTAATTTCTTTCATCAGTATTTTATAAATTTAACTACACAGTTTTGGCACATGTACTGTTAAATTTATATCTAGGCAGTTTATTTTCTTTAGAATGTGTTAACCTAAAAATAAAAAGCCAAAGTGAGAGGCAACAAGTATTTATTTGAGATTAAAAAAAAGAAAAGAAAAAAGAATGGCTGTTCAGGAAGCACTGATTCAGGCAGAAACCCAAATAGTGTTCTGATTGGGAGACAAAGGCAAAGGGGTATTTATGAGAAGGGAAGGGGAACAATTCCATCAATAGAAGAAAGGCGTTGCTATAGGTGCAGGTAAGCTAACACAGTGACACTAATTCTAAACAATGCTTTTAATTTTCAATCTGGTAGTCATACTATCTTCTTTCTTGTTATCTTTGCAAACAGTTCTTTGGGACACAGTGTTGCTTTAAGCCCAGACCAAAGGTTGTTTTGTCCTGTGTTAACATTCCTAAGGTTCAAGGAATAAGACGTGCAAGGCAGTTCCTCTGGGATGGCAGCTCCGGCTCCATTTTAAAGTAGCTCCATATATATATAGAAATAGAGAGCCATATATACAAGTGATTGATATTGTGTGAACTGGTATTGTGTTTTTTAATTTTGATTTCCACATGTTCATTGTTAGTACATACAAATGCAGTTGAGGGCCAGCCGAGTGGCGCGTTGGTTAAGAGCTGGCTTGGGACGCCAGAGGGCCCCGGTTCGGATCCCACATATGAGGGCCAGTGACACTGCCCTCCACAGCTAAGATGCTGAACAACAGCTCAACCTGGAGCTGGGCTGCCATGAGTCGCTGGCGACGGCGGAGGCTGCAGCCCCTGTGGCAGTGGGTTGCCATGGGCTACCGTGTGTAGCCAGCAGCCAGCGTGATTGGCCAGCAGCCGCTGTGAGCGGCCATCCAGAAGCCAGCGACTGATCTGCCTCGCCCAGGAAGAGTGCAATGATGGTGCCAACTTGGGCCAGTGAAGCAAGGTCCTCCACAACTAAACTGAAGAACAAAAGAACAGCAACTTGTCTGTTCCCCATCCCCTAATTCCCCAGTGCTGTCCCCATCCCCCCAATTCCCTAATAAAAATCTTAAAAAAAAAAGAAATGCAGTTAATTTTTGTGAGCTGCTTTTTGCTTTTATTCTCCTTCTTTGTTTGCTGTTGGACACATCAAGTTTTCTTGTGTTGGTTTAAAAGCTGTGTTTTTATTCTTGTTTTGTTTGCCTTTAGGACCATTTCCTAAGACTTTAAATATTCATTTGTTTCTATTATTTTCACTAGTTTTACTGGCAAGCGCGGCAGTAGATCTCCTCATGCTCTCATTCCAGAAGTCATTTGGCCTATGCTAGTTAACCATCTTGACAGGAAACTCACCTGGGGAGATATTCAGAGGGGCAAAGACCTCCAGCATGCTGTTATTCTCTCAATCCATCATGTCTCACTGCAAGTGTGTGGGACACTGGCCCAATGCACCAATCATCAGATGGTTCCTGACGGGCCTGGCTTCATCCCACCTCCAAGCAGTCATTTTAACATGTGTAATGACCTAGTGGTCATTAAGGGCCTTTTATGCTTGGGACTTTTCCCAGGGCCATGGGTGAATCCTGCAGGCCCCATCAGCTTGCCTCTTTCCTGTGGTTGTATGTATAACGAACTCAGTGGGTCCCCGCGTCCCCTCTGGTCTGTAAGCAACAACCATGGTGCTGAGAAGCTGGGTGTAATCACAAGTCCCGGCCCCTTTTACTGTTGACTGACTTGGTCTGAACTTTCTGAAACTCTGGTCTTCATTCTCATTGGCCCTCAGAGTCTCAGAACTAGCGCCTACCCAAGTATAAAACGACCTCAACAACCATTTGGTCCAGTGGTTTCCAACCCCAGTCACACATTAAAATGACTTGAGTTTTAAAAATATCAACATCTGGGTCCCCCACCATAAATCAGTTACACCAGAATCTCTGAGGGTAGAACTGAACATCGATGTTTTCAAAAGCTCCTAGGGGATTCAAATGTACAGCCAGGTTGGGAGCCACTGTTCTCATTTAATCTTCTCACTTAGCGACACATGGGGAAGGTAAGTGACTTGCCCAAGGTCACACAGAGAGTTAGGCTAATTTTAGGACTTCAGACTAGTTGTCTCAGATTTGACTCACCACTATCCTTTATTACCAGGTACATTCTAACTTCTTTCTTGGTCTCATCCATTTGTGCATATAAGTCAAGTCAAGATGGAGCTATTCATGATTGTGTAACATTGTTCTTAAACATCTTCCCCAGGTGCACGCTGTGCTCCTTCTGGGCTGAATCAACACAGTCTTTGGCTTCTTTCCTCACAGGACCAGTGATGGCCTCCACACCCACAGGTGCTCAGAACAGCTGCCCTCTGGGACCAGTGGAGAACAAACAGGAGCATGTGGGTCTTGGAATCAGATCTAGATTTGAATCCTGGCTCCACCATGTAAACCTTCCTGAACCTATTTTCTCCTCTGCACTATGAGTTAAAAATCTCTACTTTCAGAGTTGAGTTTACTGTAAAGCTTCAGTTTCAGGATCCCTGGTTTACACAGGCCACTTCCAAGGCTCTGGAAGAGGCTCTCAGTTTTGAAGTCACATTTTAAATTATTTTTCATAATGACAGCCCCTACTCCAACTGTTATTAGCTTCAGACCCCACAAAACTTGGATCTGCTCCTCACTACCTCAGAGTTGTTGTGGGAGTTAAATAAGATTCTGTTTATAAAGTGTGGGACATACAGTAGATGCTCAATAAATATCACTTCCCTCCAGAACAGCCCAAAAAAGGTATGGAAAGACAGACAGAATAGCAGCTGCTGTACTTGTTGCATTCCCCTTTTAATGTTCCATATATTGCCATTCAACAGCCCAGAGTCCATTCCAAAGGTGGCCTCTGGGGTCCTGACACAGCAGGAGGGGTGCTAAGGCCACTGGCTCTTGAGGGAGGCCTCCTCGGCTCTGATGTGGCTGTGAATCCAGTCGAGGTAGCGGCCAACTTTGGTGTATATGCCATAGTTGTGGAGGCGCCCGCATCCCTCACCCCAGCTCACCAGGCCCACCAGGAACCAGGTGCCGTGGAAGGAGGCGACCATGGGTCCCCCACTGTCACCCTCGCAGGCATCCCGTTGGTCCCCGAGGATGCCTGCACACAGCATGTTCTCAGAGACCACGTTGTGCATGGCTTGGATGCACTTGCTGCGAGCGGCCACAGGGATCTTGATGGAGTTGAGGATGAAGGTACGGTTTCTCTTGGCCTCGCTGCGGTAGCCCCAGCCTGTCACCACCGTCTCCTGGCCGACCTTGGTGAGCTCACGCTCTGAGAGGCCGCTGTCCGGGAGGCAGATGGGCATGATGGTCTGCGAAAAGGTAGCAGGCTGGGCCAGGCGGAGCAGTGCGATGTCATTGTCGGTGGTGCTCCTGCTGTAGTTGGGGTGCATGAGGACCTCGCTGATGTCCAGGTCCACCTCCCACTTCTCCCTGCGCCGAAGGTCATACTCTCCTGCAAGGCAGAGGGGCTATCAGAATGGGTGTGGGGAGGCTGACACCACCGTGCTCAAGAGGCCCTGGTTGGGGGCAGGACTGGGTGCACTGCTGCAGTGACCAGCAGATGTCCTGGGCACCATCATGGGCCACATGTCTGCACTTCAGGAACCTAGTAAGGGTAACAGCCCATGGGTGTTGATCCTAAAGGGGTAGACTGCTGGTCTGAATTTAGGACTCACTTACAGATGGGGCAATGCCAGGGACGTAACCAGCAGGGGGCAGTCAGCAGGGAAGCCCAAGGCCTACTGGAAACCTGGGACACAGACCAGAACCACTAAGAGAATATGGGGCAACTGCAGATAAGAGATGAGACCCCTTGCCAACAGAGGCGTGGCCAGCAGTGCCCAGCCTGAGCATAGGCAGGGACACACTGTGGCTGAGGCAGGCAGGGGCAGCAAGAGCAGAGAGGAGGACCAGCAGGCTCCAGGCTCCACAGGGAAGGAAGATGTGGGTCACCCTTAAGTGACAAGGTCCTCTCAGGCAAGGCTTATAGATCCTGGAAGGTTAGGGTCACCTGAAATTCCAGGTGGGGCCCCACTGGAGGCCACTGGCCATTGGTCATGCTGCAGGTAATTGTGAGGATGTGAATCTGGTTGTTCTCAATACAGTTTTTCCTCCTTTTTTGCATAAAGAATGGCATGAGAGCCCCTGGTATAAAGTGGGGCCTAGGCCTGGGGACCCTGACTACCACAGGGAAGCAGCTGCCTGCTGGGGCACACGCCAGACCCTGCTGACAGCTCCATCCCCACTGGTGTGTGTGAAGCACGACCCTGAGGCCAGGCTATGTGTGGCTCTTGTGGGTCTGCACCAGCGGATGCTGAAGGTCTGCACACAGCCTGATGCCCACAGCTGGGACTGAAGAGGCAAGTAGGTGTGCAATCCCCTCATTTGCAAACATTGTGTATAAGTGCCTGGGCCCAGATTTGAAGAGGACATCAGAGAATCCCCTGCCTGCAGAATACCAGGTGTTGCTGTATCTGAAATCCCACAGGAGTGGCAGGGTGGGAGCAAATAGTCCTCTGCCCCTAAACACCTTCTGTGGAGCTCAAGCACCCCCAGGGATAGGCTCTCCAAACCTGGACAACCTGTTTGGTGCTACCCTTTCCTGAGGCCTCTGCTGGCCCCCTCCTTCCTGCTCTAGCCCGCACCGAGCCTAACAGTGAGCTTCTTGGAGTCCTCCATGCAGTGGGCCGCTGTCAGCACCCAGGAAGTGTGGATGAGCACCGCCCCACAGGCCAGCTTCTTCTTCGAGTCCAGCAGGATCACCTGAAATGGGGGTGGGGTGGGCAGTGACATCACAGCACTACCTTCTGACCACTCCAAGTCAGGGCCGCTGGGTCTCAGCACAGCCCCTGGCGTGGTTCTCAAACCTGAGACACTGGCAGTATAAGGAGGTCTATCCTGGGTTCCCTGGCCATGAGGGCGTGGACTTCTGACCCTTTCCTGAAATTTTCTATTTCCACACGTTTCATGGAGTTGTCCCTGTTCCAGGTTTCTCCTTGCATTGCCCAAATTGTTCCTGTCATCCTCCTGAACCTCACCCAGAGAGAGCTTCTCATCGGTGGGTGCTCGGACAGGGCCTCAAGTTCTCTGGGAAGACTTTCAGGCCCCCAGGCTGCCTTGGGGGTCCCCCTCGGGTTACCTCAGTGCTTGTCCTGCAGACCTTCTGGCTCTGCTCCTATTCGGCTGCTGTGTGTTTAGGGTCCTGACCCTCCCAGATCTATGAGCTCCCCAGACCAATCCCGTGCTTAGAGATTTCTATACCCCAATGCCTGGCAGAGAGGGTGCCCAAATAAGTGTTAGTTTCCATGGTGAGGCTGAAGAGGCTCAGGGGCAGCCCTCCCTCCAGTCCTTCCCCATGCCAAACCCTCACCCACGAGCAGGGCCTCTGTCGAAAATCCCACCAGCAAAGCATTATCTTTCAAGCTTTTTTAAAACTGTCACTCTCCTCCTGCACATCCCGCCCTGCCTCACCCCACCTTTCCCTGGCTGCTCTTCTCTCATCAAGCTACCTCCATCTTTCTCTACAACACCCCCACCTTAGCACTCATTGCTGCCCCTCAAAGGCAGCCCCTTCCCATTTGTGCATCCTGAGCAGGAACTCCCAGGCCTCTGACCCCCTCTCACCTGCCAGGGACTCTCTCCCTGTAAGGTCAACTGCCCGTTGATGAGCCGTGGGTCCACTTGGTCAGCTTGGTCTGTGCAACATTTCAAGGTCTTGCCCTTCTTCTCCATTGGGTTCCATGGCCTCCCACAGGGGAATTTCACTAAAGGCAGGGGAGGCAGTGAGGGCCTGCCAGGACTATCCCTCAGACTGCCCTCCCATCTTTGTGCACTTCCTGCCTGCAGGCTAGTTTGCTGCATTGTTGAGTTAAAGGGATAAATGATGCTTAGACACACAAATGTATCAACCTGCAAATTTCCTTGGGTTGGTCAGTCAACAAACATTGCCACCTGATGGCAAGAGTCAGACCAAGCAGCATCACTATGCAGCCGTAGCCACAGCCGTGTGTTCCCGGGCAGGTTGCTAAACTTCTCAGAGTTCAGTATTCACCAGGGCTGTTAGGAACAATCCCTGAGATATATAAGTCAAGTCTTATGCTGGGATGCTGCCAAGCTCCTAACAGGATAGAAATTATGGAGACGAGCAGGCGGGCATTCTTGGAGAGCCCCAAAGTAGCTCTGAGCACAGTTGTGAAGTCCTCTGTCAGGAGAGAGAGAGACACACACAACCAAGATGGCGCAGTAGGTAAATGCTGTGTTTACCTTCTCTCACAACCACATTAAAATTACAACTAATTAGAAAACAATCGTTATTGAGAATCACCTATAATTAAGCTGAACTGAAGCCATTCAACTAAGAACTTGCAGAAGAAGCCACCTCCAGACGGGTAGAAGGGCAGAGATGCAGAACGGGCTGTTCCCACACCCGCGTGGCCATTAAAGATTGGAAGGGCTATTTCGGCTGTGGGGGTCCCGCCCTCCCCTAAAGGAGTGAGACATCCCAGCCCAGGGTCTCAGTGCCAGGGAGAGAAGTCCCCATAATTTTTGGTTATGAAAACCAGCAGAAATTGTGACTGAGTGAGAATGCACTCCCAGGCGCTCCTCTTAAAGGGACTGTGTGCAGACCAACTGAATAGCTTGCTATGAGCTCCAGCGCTGGGGCAGCAGCTGGAAAGGAGCCAGGGACACATGGTGGGGAACTGAGTTGTCTGGCTTGAGACAGGGGCTGGCGAGGCAGCTCTCTCCTGGACAGGGGAGCTGGTGGAGGCCATTGTTTCTTTGTTGAGTCCTCCCCTTTCCTGGCACACAAACACAGGCAGCCACCACTTCTGAGCCTCCGCCTGGTGATTTGATACCTGGCCCCACCCAACTTTCAAGCACACCCAGGCTGCTTTCAGTGGCTTTTTGGTGTAGACTGCCTGCCTTGGCTCAAGCTGCACTTTCCTAGGGTCTCTCAAAGGTTCATGGAACCCAGACAAGCAGCATCTGGCTTGAGCATATCCTGTACCTCTGACTGAGCAGCCCTAAGCCGGCACTGTGGCAGCTGGCCTTGGTTCGTGGCCTGGCCTCTTAAAGCGCTTCTAAGCACAGCACAGGTGGCGGCCATCTGCAGATTTCTTTCTGGCTCCCACTAGGTGGCCCTGGGTAGGGCACGGGCTGCGGCTGAGCTTGACCTACAGCAGATCTCCTCCAAGGTGGTCCTGGGACTGGCGCCCCCAGTGGCCAGCTCCAAAATGAGCTGGAGCATCACCCAGCCGCCTCCAAGCACGACACACCCCAAAGGGTGGATTGGGCAGGCTCCAAAGTCCTGCTGAGGCAGATCCTGCTCTGTGGGGTCAGCCCCTGAACAACAACTCTTCCATTGTAGTCAAGGCCAGTCCTCACAACCAGTGAGCCCAAAGATCAGTCCCTTACAGTGATGTGCAGTTATCAACCAAGGCTCAACTATAAGAGGAGGGCACACATAACCCACACAAGGGACACACTTGGAGCACGTGGCTCAGGTAATGGGAAAGATTGCGTCACTGAACCCCATAGCACACCTACTACACAAGGCCACTCTACTAAGACTGGAAGACATAGCAGCCCTATCTAATACATAGAAACAAACACAGGGAGGCAGCCAAAATGGGAAGACAAAGAAACATGTCCTAAATAAAAGAACAGAACAAAGCTCCAGAAAAAGAACTAAGCAAAATGGAGATAAGCAATCTATCAGACACAGAATTCAAAACACTGTTTATAAGAATGCTCGATGATCTCAGGTAGAGCTTAAACAGATATATGGGAAGCATAAAGATGGAGATAGAAATCATAAGAAAGAACTAGTCAGAAATAAAGGATATAATAATGGAAACGAAGACTATATTACAGGGAATCAACAGTAGATTAGATGAAGCAGAGGATCCAACTAATGATGTAGAAGATAAGGTAGCAGAAAACACCCAACCAGAACAACAAAAAGAAAAAGAATCCAGGGTCAACCCTGTCGAGACCCCCTCTAGTTTTTAGAGCTGTTACTTTCTACCCTAATGAACTATCCTCTGCTGTAAATTTTAAAAAAAGAAAAAGGAAAAAAAATCCAAAAAATTGAGGAGAGTTTAAGGGGCGTCTGGGACAATATCAAACATACCAACATTTGCATTATAGGGGTACCAGAAGGAGAAGAGAGAGAGCAAGGAATTGAAAACCTATTTGAAGAAATGATGACAGAAAACTTCCCTAACTTGGTGAGGGAAATGGACATACAAGCCCAAGGAGCACAGAGAGTCCCAAACAAGATAAACCCAAGGAGGCCAACACTGAGACACATCATAATTAAATGCCAAAGGTTAAAGACAAAGAGACAATCTTAAAAGCAGCAAAAGAAAAGCAGTTAGTTACCTACAAGGGAGCCCCCATAAGACTGGCAGCTGATTTCTCAACAAAAACTTTTGCAGGCAAGAAGGGAGTGGCAGGAAATATTCCAAGTGATGAAAAGCAATCACATACAACCAAGATTGCTCTACCCAGCAAGACTGTCACTTAGAATTGAAGAACACATAAGGAGCTTCCCAGACAAGAAAAAGCTGATGGAGTTCATCACCACCAAACCAGTATTACAAGGAATCTTAGAGGGACTTCTTTAAGATGGGAGGGGGGTTAAGGATGGATGAAAGGGGAAGGGATTAAGAAGTACAAATTGGTTGTTATACAGTAGTCATGAGGATGTAGGGTATAGCATAAGAAATATAGTCAATAATATTGTAATAACTAGGTATGGTGCCAGATAGACACTAGATCTATCAAGATGATAGATGGGACTGGGGTTGGGGGCAAGTGAAAAAGGTGAAGGCATTAAGAAATACAAATTGGTAGTTAATATGGTATGGGGAATATAATCAACAATGTTGTAAAGATCATGTAAGGTGCCAGATGGGCACTGGACTTATCAAGGGGATCACGTCATAGACTGCGTAGATGCCTGTCCAATGCACTATACATATGAAGTAGAATAATATTGAATGTCGACTATAACTAAATATATATAGGTATATATATAGTCACGGGATGTGGAGAATAACATAGGGAAGATAGTCAGTGGTATTGTAACAACAATATAAGTTGTCAGAGGGATAGTAGCTTCGGGAGTGGGTTATCACTTTATAAGGGGTTTAAATGTCTAACTATTATGTTGCTTTGTACACCTGCAACTAATAAAAATAAATAAATAAAAATAAAAATGAAAAAAAAAAGAAAGAGGAGAGAAAGAGGAGAGAGAAAAAAAAAGAAAGGGGAGAAAGAGGAGGAGGTCTGCTCGGATAGGCCATTCAGCTAGGCTGAGAGGTTTGGACTTATTGAAGGGCAATAGAAAACCATAAGCCAGGGAACTGAACAGTGACAGAGAATGGAGATGAGACAACAGCAAATAAATTCCAGAAGCTGTACAGTAGATGGACATGGTAACTTGCTTGGCTGACTGAGAAAGCAAAAACCTCTGTCAGGAACAGGGGATGCTGAACCCAGACTGCTTTGCAGCACAGAACCCCAGAAAGGCTTGGTGCTTCTGAAGGGTGAGGTGTAGGTGGGGCTGCAGACAGGAATGTTGGAAGTTTATAAGAGAAACTACTAGAGCCCTAGACCTCTGTCATGACCCCTCATCAGTGACTTGACTCTCCTCTCTCAACCCTGCAGAAGACCTTAGGTGTATTCTCTGCAGAGGGTAAACCAGAGGCTGTGACTTGGGGCCCCCAGGTACCACCACAAGGAAGAGTGACGTACAATGAACACAGGGAGTCAGGCAGACATCTGCAGACTGGGCAGACACCAGCTTCCCTCCCCACCCTGCTCTCAGGGCAGGAAGCTAGGCTGGAACCACCCAAGCCTGAGTTGGAAGATTCCTCTCAGAAAATGGCATCAAGTGAAGACCTCAGGGTCTGGGCAATAGGGGTCCTGCCAGTGACTTCGACCCTTGGGTGGTCTTGCAAGAAAGCCCACAACCCAACACATTCACCAGGCATTTCGCTGCAACTTCCTATGAATTCTAATTATTTCAACATACAAAATTAGAACTGTTTTTGTTTTTGTTTTTTTCAGTAAAGGATTGGAATATAAAATTGTGGAAAATTCCCTGAAAGAAGAACACAAAGTTAAAGAGATGGAAAATATGAGGTGTGATCACAAAATAGGTGAATACTGCTGCCAAGTGCCATCCAACGGAAAGGCAGGGATCTTCAATACAGGAAGCGGCATGTCAAACCTTAGAAACAGTGTGTGACAAGTTTCAATTTGTTTGGTGCAGTCAGTCGAGTGTGAGCTATGGTTGAGAGAAGGTGTGTTTTAAAGTGTGCCGTAAGTCATCTTTCATCATGACAATGCTCCGTGTCACTCATTGCTTCTGGTATACGGCAATTTCTGTCAAATAAAAACATTATGGTGTATACTCATCCACATTATTCATCAGATCTGGTACCGTGTGACTTCTGGCTCTTTCCCAAAGTCAAAATGATTCAGGACATCAAGGCAGCCACAACAGCGCAAGTAAAGACACTCACGAAAGAGGACTTCCAGAACTTCAGAAAGTAGTAATAATGATGGGATAAGTGTGTTTGAAGAGGGGGATTAATGGCAATGTGTCTTTTACTGTAATAATTTTTTAAATTTAAACATTCACTGAATTTTTTTTATCACACCTCATAAAAGAGACTCTAAAATAGGTCAATCGAGAGGAAAGAGATCTGAATAATAGGAGGTCCAGAAATAGAGAACAGGGAAAGCACAGGGTAAATTATCAAAGAAATAACTAAAGAGATGTTCCTAGAGGTAGCAGATATGAATTTCCACATCCAAAGGGTCTACCAAAGGGTGCTGTACAATGAGTGAAATAAGACCTACAGTGAGGAACAACCTGCTAAAATTCATTATGAGTTATAAAACTCTACTTATTTGTACATATATAAATTTTGATGAAAATTAAAATGCATACAAAGGAAAACAGGGAGGAAGGCAGAATCATGGTTCCGGTTTCCTCAGAGAAGCCAGAGGTAACATGGGAAATGGCATGCGGGGCTGGACAGAGTCTCTTAAGGAAATAAAGCCATTCCCGATAGATGGAGGAAGATGCTGGAGGCCTGGCCCCCTGTGTCGACTCAGAGTTTGGGAGGTGAGCTACCTATGGGCTCATGCTCCAGGAGTTGTCCGTAACGTGATCAGGGGCATCTCGAGGAAGGCGGACAAGCAAGGTGCAGAGCAGGCAGGAAGCCATCAGAGGGCATCCTCTCTCCTCGTGGGCTGACTGCACTGCGGTGGCTCCCGGGGTTGGGGCGGCCCTCTCCCTTCAGCGGGACTCCAGCTGTTCCTCGCTCAGGCCCCGCAGCCGCCCTGTACCCCACCGCCCTGCTCCGTTCCGGAGCTCACCTTTGAGCTCACCTTTGGGCTCACACTGCAGGTGGTCGTCCGCCAGCCCGTAGCCCGACGCGCAACTGCAGCGGCGCCGGCCCTCTTCCTCCAGGCAATAGTGCCCGCAGCCGCCGTTGTCCACTGAGCAGTTGGAGAAGCGCACCTCTGGACCGACAAGAGAAGAGGGCGCCGAGGGTGCACAGTGACACCACGCGCCCGGCGCCGCAGTGCCGAGCCGCGCGCAGCCTCCGCCGCTCTCTGGCGCTCAGCCCACTGCCCCGTTCTGCGACCCCTCACCTTGCATGCAGAAGCGGCCTTCCCAGCCCAGGCCACAGTCGCAGCGGAAGCCACCTATGCCGTCGATGCACTTGCCGTGGTCGCAGCACGGGCTGTCGCACGGGTGCTCCGGGAGCTGTATAGTGCACTGGTCGCCGTCTGCGACATGAGGTTTGGGAGGTGTCACTGGTGCCGCTAATCCCCCCACCCCCTCGGCGTCCCCACAATGGCCCAGAGACCCCAAGGGGGCACGGCACCGCAACCAGGAGTCTAGAGAGCACTCACCAAGGTACTTGGACCAGAAGTCCAGCTGTGGAGAGAAGGGGCTGCGTCAGAGGCTGCCGTCAGCCCTTTAAGGGGAGCCCACAGGGAGCCTCCTGGGTCTGGCCCTGGTGGGGCCTGGCAGCCTCTAAATGGGCAGTAGACATAAGGACTTCCAGGGAGGTCAACTCCCGCTTCTCAGTGACGGCTGGTGCAGCTGCACCCTGAGTAAGACCGCCTCCTCCCTGCCCCTTGTTGTCCATCTTCACCCCACATCCAATGAACAACACTCCTCCCCTGGCAGCTGGAAGCATGCTCTCTCACTGTGCTAAGCAACAACCTCTGCAATGAAAGGGACCCAAGGTCCCCACTAGGCTACTCTGCCTCCTTCCAGTTACCGCACTCTTTCTGGCTTTTCTGGACCTCTCCCAAATCTGGACTTTCCCTAAGCCAGTGTTCCCAAAGTTGAGCAAGGGCCAGGATCTCATTAGTGAGACACAGAATGCTGGTTGAAAAGGTCTGGGACAGCAGTCCCCTTTTCTAACCACCACCTGCTGCTGCTGCTGCTGTTGTTGGTCTGAGACCACCACACCCTGAGATCCACTGCTCAATGCCTATACAATCAACCCTCCCCCACCAGCATGGGCTCTGCCCTGCTGGCCCAGAAACCTTGGTGGGGGGTGGGGGGTGGTTAGGGGAGCCCCAGGATGGATATGATGTGCTCAGATTGAGAATGCAGAATATCGTTTTGGCATCTGCTGAGGCCATTTGGGGAAAGAGGCAGTGGGGATCTAGTCAAGGAGGTGGCAGCTGTGGGCAAGGAGGGAACAGACCAGAGGCCCCCCACCTTGGCCTGGAAAGGCCTGAACAGGAAGTGCATCCCTACAGCATGGTGGGGACCCCAGGTGGTGGCACAACTTCCAGGTCCTAGTAGCTGAAGTGAGCGTTCGGGGATGGAGGAGGTCTGAGTCTTGTATTGGAAAGCCACCTCTCTTACAAGCCCACCTTCCTCCTCAGGGCCACCACCATGGGGCTTGGAGGCCAGAGAGGACATAGACCCTTTCCTCAGACCCCCTGGGCAAGCAGATTTTACCCCTTGAGAATATGAACTGAGGCACAGAGTGAGCGTTTGTAGACAGACATCAGGGACTCAGGTCACACACCCTGATCAGCAGATTCATGGGTGGAAGCAGACATGCTGGCCTTTTGGTCACAGAGAGAGAGAACGGGAGACAGAGGTGTCCAGCTGTAGGTGGAGGGTGGACTGAACTACCTGCAGTGGGGTTGGGTGGGTACCCCAGCCTGAGGCTTCCCCAAACTTTTCCTGGAGCCAGGCGCAGCGTTCTGCTTCTTGCAGCCGCATGTGCCCTGACCAAGACCATAGTGCCCTATTCATTCTACTCACCTAGCCCCAAGCTTGGGAGAGAAGCTGGTGCCCACTATTTCCCTGGACCCCCAAGAGGCCCTCAGTGGTCAGCCCCAGCCTGTTTCCCCAGGCCCGGCTGGCCACCAGCCCACCCCTCAGCTTTGTCCTCTGGACCCAGCCAGATGGCCTTACTGTGTTATCCACATTTTTGAAAATCTCCTTGGCCTCCTCAAAGTCACAGCTCTCCTCCATGCACTCCCGCTCCAGGTTGCTGGGTCGGAGCTCCTCCAGGAAGGAGTTGGCACGTTTGTGGATCCGTAGCACCTGGTGGGCCTGCTCACTGCTGGAGAACACTGAGTCTGTTTGGGGTAGAGGAAGCTCACGTTAGTGGAGGGGCCTGAGGTAGAGGTCATGCAGGGGACCTGCTGGGGTGAACCTGGGGAGGACTTATAATTCCAGGTCCCAATTCTCTCCCCTTTCCCTCTGCTTGAAGAGGTGGCTGACCACTGGATCAGAGGAGACTTGACAATTCATACATCCCTTTGAACCCCAACCGGACCTCAGTGTGACCTTGAGCCAGGGTCTTTACACCTCTAAACCTTAGTTTATTCATCCAAAATGAGGATATTTTATTGTACTAAGTGAAACAGTCCAGTGCCTGGTACAGAAATAAGCACCCAATGTCACATGACATATGCTGTTGTTGTTATCAAGAATGTAATATTAAATGGTCTCATTATTCTCTGGATAATGAGGCAGGGTGCATCCCTGTCTTGAAACCATCCCTCTCTTCCCCCTCCCCGCCCCTCCTTTACCTCCCTACTCATTGAGCACTTGCCATGCTCCTCCCCTTGGGCAGGCACACCTGAAGGACAGCAGATCTCTCACCCAGGGAGCATTACCACATGTCTCCTGGGCTCCGAGAGGTGTCTGTCTTGGATACAGGGGAACAGCTGGGATGGAGGGGTCAAGTCAAGGGATTGTAGAAGAGAAGCTCAAGGGACATGCAAAGGCCAGAAAAGGAAGGTATGCCTGAGCTGAGTCTGCACAGTGGAACCCAGGGGGCCACAGGTGGGAGCTGGGGGCTTGGAGGATGGGGGAGGGTGGGGAAGGGCGCCCCAAGCAGAGAAGCAGCTCAGGAAGAGGCATAAATGCAAGGAACAGCCTGGGGTGGCTCTCAGAGAGACGAGGGCTGCAGAATAAACTGGGTAGCTCATCCTTCCTGCAGGCCCTCCCAGCATGTCATCCTTCCTCCTCCTGCTGGCTGTGGAGACCAGGGAATGGGGTGGGGCAGGTTTTAGGAGGACAGGCTGCCTGGGGTAGACCTGGGGATTTCACAGTTGAGAGAGTGATGAATGGAGTGGGAAGGCCCAGGGGACTCTGACCACCCCAGAGTGGAAGAAGGACCATCAGGATGTGACCCTCTGACCTGGGCTCCCTGCTTTCCTCACAGCATTCTGCCCTCCAGCCAAGGAGGCTGCCGCTGTGTTCCAGTAGCGAACTCGAACTCTGCCTGCCTCTTGCCTCATTCTGAGGCTCAGAGGGAATAGTGGAAGGTGTGAAGGCCCTGGGGTCTTGGGGGATGGGGTACGGGGAGTGGCCTTACCGGGATGAACTGGTGTGCTGGAAATTCCCCAGATGATCAGGAACAGTAAGAGGCTTGCCAGCTGCCACATTCTGGAGCTGCTGACACCTGTCTGAGGAGGACTTCTGAGTTTCCCATAGCCCCACCAGCACCTGCTCTGCCTGCCACTCTCCAGACATGAGCCAAATGGAAGGGCCTCCCATGTGTGCTGATTGTCAGGGCAAAAGCTGGGATTGGGAGTCCCTGCCCACTAGGCAGACAGCCACCTGGCACTTCAGTTTCCTTCTCCATATGAGGCTAAGGTCACACCACCTGCTCCGAATCTGAAGGGGGAAGAGGGAAAGTGGACAGCGCACAAAGTCCTGGTGAAGATCAAAGGGGCCAGCACAGAGGGACCACAGCAGGGGCGCCCAAAGTATCCATGCCCTTCCCATTCTGGGTGAGCCTTTGGGGTGCGGTGCCATTGCTGACCTGCTGGCCAGGATGAGAGTAATAGCTAACATTTATCAGACACCCATGGTGTCTTTCAAGCATGGCTCAGAGGACAGGCCACCAGGTCAAACCTCTTGGTGCAAATCACAGCTCCAGGACAGCAACATGGGCAAGGGACCTAACTGGTCCATGCCTCATTTCAGTCATTCGAAAAATGGATAGAAAAACTGTTTTTCTGCCTTTTAGGGTTATTGTGAGAGTTAAATGAGTTAATCCACATGAAGCTTTTAAAGTATGGTTTGCACATAGCAAATTCTCAGTAAACTGCTATTATTATCTCAGTTAAGGCTCACGGCCAGCCAAGATGTAGGTTTAATATTGTCATGCCATTTCATGGAGTGGGAAATTGAGGCTCAGAGGCGTGAAGCAGCTTTTTAAAAGCCCACAACCAAGAGGTGGCAGAGCTCAGACTCAAGCCCAGGACTGTGTGGCTCCAGGGCTGGAACCTGAACTCCTGCCCCAAACTATCAGATGCCCCACAAGGCCACAGAGGCAGCTCTGCCGACTGGACGCCGAAGAGCCCCCCACTGCCTTCAAGGCTGGGTGGGCAGGTCTGCCTGCCCCATGTGCACCCCAGTCTGACCTCACTCTCCACCTTTACTCACTTTCTCAGAGGCTGGTTCTGACATTTGTTTAAACCAGAGGCCCTAGGTTTAGAGGTGGGGGTGAGTTAGGGAGAATGGGGAGTCCCAGGTTCCAGGTTGCCTCTGGTGATAGCCCTGGGCCCTGGAGGCCCTCAGCCAACTTCCACTTGCCTTGAAGTCTGGGAAGAAGGCCTCTTGGAACTGTGGTACCTGGGCCTGAGCAATGCCAGCCTGGCTGGTGGCAGAGCCTTGATTTCCCTTTTCCCCAAGCTCCAGCCAGCCTCTCAAACCCTGGCTTGAGGATTTAGCCCTCACCCCTGCTCAGCCCTCCTCCGGCCCACCTCACAGACCTGCCTGGAAGGGTACTCCCTGGGGTGTACTGTGGAGAAACTGCAAGGTCGCCCTCCTGCCGCCATGACAGTCCGGAACTTGAGTTAATCCATAACCGCAAATATTTACTTGCTTGGCCCTCAGTGCTGAGGCCTTGCTCTCCACAGGCAAACAAGTTTCCAGCTCAGGACAGCTCGGTTTGCCCAAAGCCCATCTTGCCAGCAAATGGTGCCATCCAGGAGGAAGAGAGGAGAAGGACAGGCACTGTCAAACTGCATACATTTGTGGTCTCATTTTAGCTTCATAGTGGCTGGCTGCAGGAGGGACCTTGTCCCCATCTTGCAGATGGGACACTTTTATGCAGAGATATTGCCGCTTGGCCCAGATCAGCACAACTGGTAATGATTCCATAGTTCACCAAATCTGGGATACAATTATTATAAGATGCACCTATTTATGTGCCAATAAAAAAAAAAAAGAAAAGAAACATTGCCAATCACACATTAACATACCAGCCCAATTTTTTTTTTAAAGATTTTATTGGGGAATTGGGGGAGGGGAACAGACAAGTTGCTGTCCTTTTGTTCTTCAGTCTAGCTGTGGAGGACTTTGCTTCACTGGCCCATGTTGGTATTCTGATCATTGCGCTCTTCCCAGCTGAGGCAGATTGGTCGCCTGCCGGCGGCTGCTCATGGTGGCTCTTGACAGCTCACGTTGGCTGCCGGTCACTCACGATAGCTTATGGAAGCCCATTGCCGCTTCACTGCAGCCTACGCCATCGCTGGCGACTCACGGCAGCCCAGCTCCAGGTCGAACTGTTGTTCACCATCTTAGCTGTAGAGGGTGCAGCGTCACTGGTCCTCATGTGGGATCCAAACCGGGGCCCTGCTGCTCAGAGCTGGCATCCCAAGCCAGCTCTTAACCAACGTGCCATTTGGCCAGCCCGCCAGCCCAATTTCTGATTTTTGTAATGTAAAATGAAAAGATGTGCCCCTCAGGTCCCTACCTCACAGGAGCCAGGCACTCTGAAGGCTCTAAGCTCTGGTCGCTCTGTAATGCCCCCCACAGCTACACATGGCTATTCCTATAACTTCTATTTTGCCGATGAGGGCACTCAGAAACCCTTCTTTACTTGCTCAAGTTCACCAAACTGGTAGGTGGCAGACTTGGATGAGAACTTAGGTCTTCCTGGCACCTCTTGGCCACCTCTGTGAACAGGTGAGAGAAACAAAGAGGATTCCGGAAAGGCTGGAGTCAGTTCATGGCCGGGATGCAGGAAAGCAGGAGGGCAGAAGTAAAGGCTCCACCTGGAGCTTTGCCTCAGTAGTCACTAGGCACCTTCCTTCCTTCCTGCACCTGCTGTCCCAGAGATGGCCCCATGTCTTCATACCCTGCCCCCTCCTTGGAGGACTTGACCACACTCCTCAGAGTCCCAGTCCATGCTGCTTCTGGTGACTGCACAGGGAAGTCACTGGACCCAGGAGTCAATCAGATTCTCTACCCCAGATCCCAGGAGTAGGGCCTTAGAACCCTCATTGCACTGTGAGCACTGAGCTTGGAAAGTTCTGAAGCCAGGGTTTGAGCATCGATGTTTGGGCCTAAAGCAAAGGAAGCAACGAGTAGGGAGGTGCAGACCTGCTGAGCGACTGAGCAGGCGACTGAAGAGACTTGAGGGTCTGAGGAAGCAGCCGGGCGGCCTCACCTCATAATGAGTGGGGCATATCCTGGCTTCGGGGTCACAAGGGTCCTCCGGCCCTCCTAGAAAATCCTCTTTCCTGCAGTTTCCTTAATTCGCTGGAGCAGCTTGTGTTCCTCCTACTTAGGTACAGCACCATGTTTGGACTATGGAGGTATAGGGCCCTCGTGCTGCCCACACTCCCGCCTGAGAAGGCAAGAGGAACAGGGGGAGAGTCTAACAGGGAAGGCCCAAAGGGCAGAGGCCAGATGGCAGGCACAGACAGTGACGCTGAAGGGGTTCAGAGGACAGGGAAATCAGCACAAGCTGGGTGGCCAGGGAAGGCTGCCTGGAGGAGGTGAAGCTTCAACTGGACATCAGAGGGCAGGCAGGGCCCTGGTAATAGAGGAACCACTGCTCAGATGGGGAGGGAGCAGGAGGTACAGGAGATGAGTAGTGGGGGAGCTGCTGAAGGTGAGGTGGGAGGGGATGGAATAGGGTTTGGAATGGAGTCTATGGACAGTGGGGAGCCAGGGGCTGTTTGTGAGGGTCTGTGGCAACTGCCTAGAGAAAGGGAAACATGGTCCTTATGGCTCAGGCAGAAAGCATGGAGACCACACATGGGGGTGGCTCGCAAGGCTGAGGAACTTATAAAAATTGCCTCCTGCACCCATGGTTTTCTCCAGGTGTCCTCCCCATGAGTGTACTGCAGCCACTGCTCTTGGCTCTCCCCATCTTCACTTGGCCTCCTGCTACCTCCTTACCTCACCTGCTAAGAGCAAGGTGCTGTGGGTGTCCAGTGGGACTCCTTCCCTTCCCCACCAAACTCCTCACCTTCCATGCGTGCCCCAGCCTCACATGGGCGATCGATTCCATGTGCCATCTACATAGGGTCCACACACTGATCCTGAACCTGCCTGCGGCACCCACATCCAAACCAGCCCAGATGCCCAGAAAAGCCAGGGCAGCTGCAGTGGGAGAAGTTGTTACCAGAGAGGGGGCCCTTCTTGGTGAGATGTCCGGGCTTGGCTCTCACACTAGGGTCGAACCCTGTGGAGTGTGGGCGGAGTGTGGGGTAGCTTCCCACATCCGTGGGTCACTTCTCGAGGAAAACTGGGAAACTTACCCAATACATTGATGGGGATTGGGCCCTCTTTAGCATGGTGTCCAAGTTCTTGGCATCTCGAGCAAAGAATTGAATAAGACACAGAGGTAAAGTGGTGAAAACAGTTTATTATTATGGAAGAGACACAGAGGTAAAGTGGTGAAAAAACTTTGTTATTATAGACTAGATAGTACACTCCAAAGAATTAGGAGTGAGCTGAGCACAAACAAAAGTGGCTCAAGGCTCAAAGTGGCATTATTAGGAGAAAAAGTACATCAAAGAGTTTGGAGCAGGCCCTAGCAAAAGGAAGGCTTGAAAGGTGGCCAAGGGCTCAAGGGGCAGCAGCTTTCAGGAGCTTTCGGGTTTTATCTTTTTTACTCTGGGACTGGCTGTTCCTCTCCAGGCGCAGGACTGCTTGATTGACACCTGAGATTGATAAGAGGTCATTACCTCACCCTCTTAGACTGCACATGTCCCTTTCCAGAGTTCAGTGTTATAATGATATTAATGAACTCCGGGCATATGTATGATATTATATGATGGTATAATGAGGCTAGGGTGAGATGGAGGTTATTGTAGTTTTCTACAGCGCAGAGCCGGTCTATTTTATTGTCTTTTAGTGTCCTCACAGAGGTTCATGGTTAGGCCCGATAAGGAGAAATTCCAGGCAGTGCTCCCTGTAGATTGTGTTGAACATGCAGGAATGCAGAGACCCAATTACTTGACTCTAACTGCCTGCGTTGTTTTCCCTGAGAGACATGATCCCCATAAATCTCTGTGGGGAATTGAGGGATGGGAGGTCTCTTTTTTCTGTATCTGCTTCAAGCTGAGAAGGGGGGTAGAGCTGTCCCTACCTGATGGGGATTCACAAAACTCTCGCCCCATCTGTTCTTAAATAAAAAGAGGGGGTCTCATATTTGCCTTGGTCGGGGTGTACTGGAAGCCTCGCTGGGACATAATTTGTATCCCGAAGGCCCCTAAGTGAGGAAAAAGAGACATTGGTTAATAAATTAAAAGCAGTGGCTCCAGGGATGGGACTCCAAGTCCATTCATCTTAACTTCAGGTGACGTTTGTTTACCCAGGAGTTAGGCCTGGACTGGCCTGGAGGAGTGTTAAAACCCATTTGGTCTCTGGGATGGCCATTTATTTATCCAAAAGTTAGGTCTGGAATGGCTTGGGAGACTGTTGGGATACAATGATTACAGCTCTATATTGAGGGGGCTTAAAATTTCTATAGTGAGGGGTCTTAAAACTTCTATAGCAAGACAGCTCTCCCGTACCAGAGACCAGTGCTGGGGGTCTGCCAATGCCTCCAAGCATACTCAGAGTTCAGGAGGCTTCCTCCTGGAGAGTTCTTCATGCCTGTCGGCTTGCTGAGGCACTGCAGTGGGGGTACCTGCATCATGGCCTCCTCATTGGTTGGCAGTGCAGGAGACAGGGTCACCTCCCTGAGGAGGGGAAGGTCCCCACCACCATTCCTGAGTTCTGCTGGCTCTGAAAGGCTGGCATCACCTGGGGAGTGCACCCAGGAATCCAGGTGTCTCTGCTCACTTGCAACAGGTTTCCAGCAAGGGGCACTGCTCTGGTCCCCTGGAACGGGGCCTACCCTTGTTCCAAAATACCAGTCTTACCGGGCTTGGTGGGTGGGCGCTGCTAATTCTCCTTGTCTGACTGGGGGGTTTCCTTCTTCAAATGTGTGTAACCTCACAGGGGTCTGAATTTAGTCAGGCCAAATCTAGATGACAGGGCAGGACTTGGCATTGAAGGTAACCCATTTAGAGAGAGGAAGGGCGTTTGTGCAAGGGATTCGGGGTACTTGTGTGGATGCCAGCAAAAGAAAGAGAAGCAAAAATGTGGGGGGAAACCAGAAAGGTAAAACTATCAGATAGCATCAGCAGGAGGGTCTTTGGGGTCAGGTTCGTACGGGTTTAAACCTCATTGGAGCTCCTTCCTGGCTGGGTTATTTAACTTCCCTGGGCCTCAATGTCCACATCTGTAAAATGAGGCTAATAATAGCATCCACCTGGGTGCTTGTTACAAGGGTTAAATTAAGTTGTTGCTACAAGGTGGAGAGGGCCTAGGATTTAACAGGTGATCAGTCAACAATTTCCTCTCTTGGCTCCTCAAATATCCTAGGCAGCGGTTCTCAACCTTCCTAATGCCGCGACCCCTTAATACAGTTCCTCATGTTGTGCTGACCCCCAACCATAAAATTATTTTCGTTGCTACTCTATAACTGTAATTTTGCTACTGTTATGAATTGTAATGTAAATATCTTTTTGTTTTCCGATGGTCTTAGGCGACCCCTGTGAAAATGTCATTAGACCCCCAAAGGGGTTGCGGCCCAT